AAATTTAATTTAAACAAACATCGATATTAATATAAATATAGAATGATAAATTCGTCACATATAAGGTTTGTTTCCTACATAAATTAATTTTCAATATGCTTATAAATTGTTGTTTATTAGTTTACTATATGTGTTAGCAGTTACGTCACAGTGCACATGGGCGCCATCTACAAACTCTAATAATCTACCTATACTCTTTTCGTTTTACTTTCAAAAAATGTAGGCTTTCATGATAGATGAATTTAACTTCCTTAACAAAACATTCGAAAACAATTATTGTTAGAGCAATAAGATAAGGAAGATTTTGGTATATCGATAGACCTTCTTTTCACAAGATATACTAAAACAGTAAATTTTCTAACACACGCTCAAGCAGGATTATCTTTATACAGCACACTTAATGTATAAAATTACGAACAGTTACTGCATAAAGCGAAGCTCACAGACTTAGAAATAGGAAATTTCAGAATACAAGCAGCTCTAAGATTGAATGTTTCAAATGTCAAATAAGTATAATTTCCTTAATACGTCTTCCAGTTTTTTGATAGACATAGGAAGATCACAAAACTGTAGTTGGAGGATTTTTTTAATGTGTTTATTAAACTTTTATGACCTTCCACTAATCAATCTAATTTTTTTTATGTTTTTAATGGAACAATTTATGATCATTTTGGTTTATCGCAATGTCTATCTGCTTTGTCCACCGGGGTGTGTTTGTTTTCTTATAGCAAAGCCACATCGGGCTATCTGTTGTGTCCACCGAGGGAAATTGAACCCCTGATTCTAGCATTGTATATCCGAAGACTTACCGCTGTCCCACCGGGGGGAATCGAGCCCCAGCGTCTATTTACGATTATAGTAATGTCTTTAGATAACTTATTTCTTTACTATCATGAACAGAACTGAGTAAAACTATATCATGCAAAATAACAATATTTTTTGTACCGTAGAAATACAGATGATGTCCTTGGTGTTTTATTTTACTTTCCTGTCTCGCCGGTGGCTCAGCAATAAGGTTTGAGGGTCTATAACCCTAAATTCAGGGCTTGTTTTCTGCGATAGGCACACTTTAAGTAGTTCATTGTTCTTAACAATGATGTAGTTTTAAATATAAACATATGTTCATTCTTTTCTCACTATTTAAATATTCAGCATTAAAATTTATGTTCACAGTAAAAGAACAAAGATATTCTGCTTTTCCTTTTTTTTTTCTTCTGGATTTAAATGTTTCTGATGGTGTGATTTTCATTTTAGTAGATTAATATTTGTTTTAGCTTTAAGGGAAGAAAAACCTTAGTTTCGCTTGAATAGTTTCTTTAGTGCCAAATATAGTATTTTTTACAATTTAACGCTCAAGTGTTGTTTATCATCTTTTCTGTCTTTGGTGCTTTTCAACATACATAACAAGACACCTTATGCCTAGCGTCTAGAATTCTTCCAATATTTATCAGTACAACAAAACAAGGTTTAATGGTGTACTCAGGAGTTCTGACTTCGAAATTTTGTGCCAAGCAACAAATTAGGTGACATCACGCATTAAGGAAATTAGCTTTACTTATTCAACATATGAAACGGGTTTTAAAAACAAAATTTCAGCAAAGCGTACACAACATGAGCTAGTTATTGTCACGTATGAATATCCGGAGGCATCATTAATCCTCAGAATATGGAGTAAAATCCATGTCCTTGTTTACTTTTGCAAGAAGACAACAAATCAACAACAACAAAGAAACACTTAAGACGTATAATTTCTAACAAAATGTTCAATTCATTCACTTCATAGCCTCTAGACCTTTATCTACTTTCAGTTTTTTTACCTTTAACAGTAGCTTATAGAAATACTTCTCTTCAAATTAGATATTTAAATTTAAACCTAATCTCATCCTAACTTATTATTCGAGTATCAAATACAAAACCTGGTTCTGTTAAGACTAGGGTTTTCTTATAATTCCGTTAAAAAAAAACAATATGTTTTCAGTTTCAGGAGCATATTGCTGACTAAGTGGGGTTTACCAATTTCTATATTTTCCAAATCACTTGAACATGTAAAGAGATACTGACGTTGGATCTTAGGTATTGTATAAAAGTGTAGATTTTTCTTGACAGTCTTAAAATCTGATCGTGAGCTGTAGTTCTTGTGGTTCTGTTTTTCAGGAAATGGCTCCCAAAGCACAAGAGGAAATGCCAAACAGAGTTACAACGTTAACAGAACAAGTCAAAGCTGAAGAGTTGCCACTTGTATGGACAAATGTCACTATATTCATCTTCTTACATGCTACTGCCTTGCTTGGGTTGTATGTTGGCGTGACTCAACCCACATGGCAAGGGTGGGTCTTAGGTAAGTAGAAATTATATATAAGTATGTAAGACACCCAAAACACGTGATAACGGTACATCCTTAATAATAAGAAATTACAGGCTGACATTCAAAACAGTAAATCCTTGTAAAAAGACGAATAAAAAAGAAATGCAGATATAATTGAGTAAGATTTAAAATAACTGTTTGTTTGTTGTTAAGCACAAAGGTACACAATGGGGTATCTGTGCTCTGCCTACCACGGGTATCGAAACCCAATTATTAGTATTGTATATCCTCACACTTACCACTGAGCTACATGGGGGAGGGGCAAAATCTAAAAGCAATAAGAAAAGTGCTCAAGTCGTTCTAAGGCACAATGATTAAGTAATCTATATTTTGACCAAACAACCTTCATCGGATCCAATGAAGGTAGTGTGTTCAAAACGATGACGGCTTAATTATTTTTCCCTTACAGCAATTTTAACAATTTCTTTGCATTTTCACATTCCAGTTAATGATAGACCCTTAATAACTATATTAAAAACACTGATATTTAATCCTTCCTTTTGATGTGGTAAAGAGAAATTATATTCACGGGCCTTTGATTCGGTAAAAATGTTCAGTTCTTGTCAAAAATAATCAGCCAATATTGAAAGACTGATATTTTTCTTAATAAAAATGTGACATTAATACCCCAAAACAACGTCATATAAAAAGTACCACACACACACACTGTAACGAATCTGTTGTTATATATTTATTTTAATGTCAACCTTTGTTTCGATTGAGT